AACAAGAGCTTTACAAACAAAATACAAGAAAATTCCAATCCTTGCTGGGGTGATAGAGTTTAATGCATGAAACTTATTATTGTTTCACAAGTTAAATCTAATGGGCATTTCTAATCTCACTATTGGGAAACAACATGCCTAGAATTACCAAAGAAATGTACCAGAAAATCTGTAATGGGGCTTTTAGAGTAAAAAAGTCTAGTTGTCAGCAAAAGGCATTATGTAGCTATTAGGATCAAGCGTTTACCACTACGTTAAAAACTATAGCTAGTAGCGAAGGCACAACTTTATTTCCTTACAAACCGCCATACATTTTCGAGAGCCATGGTTCTGTATGAGAACAAAGGAGAGGAGAGTAAAATTATTGGACAGAAGGAACAATTATGGAAACAATGACAATCTGATGACTCCATAATCCATAATTGACAAGTAAATTACTAGGCTTCACAACACAGATAGCAACATTTTGGATAGAAGGAACAACTATCCTAGCAACGTTGACAATCAACTGAAAGAGGTAAAATCTGTTTATTCTATGGAAAATTAAAGCTAGGGAGAACGTACATGTTAGTTGGGGAGAAGGGAGCAGGAGAAACCATCATTTACGAGCTTGTTAACGGCATCTCTGAAGTGATAGTAGTCCTCAACTTTATTATACACTTGGTGAGAGATCCTGGCATACCCTGTAATTGGATTAACATCCCCATCACCTTCCAATGGTGGCCTATAATATATAGGCACCTCAACACGAAAACAATCTCTCAAGTGGTGTCTTAACCTCAAGGCATCTGAATCACTGGAAATCCCCAAGCAGGCCGGCATTCCCACCATGGCCATACTAGAGCACATCTCAGGGGGTGCACCCAAATTCGTTCCCCACGCCTTGGCCAACATCTCCGCCATCTCAACAACCTTCTCGTGATTTCTCCTCCTAATCCCTTCTATCCCACCCTCGACCTTACTTAGAAATGTCACTACCTGAGGAACCACCAATTGGGAGCTGTAATCCCTAGTCCCTATCCAAGTACTCTCGATAGGCAAACCATTTCCATACTCGAGGGAAACCACGGGATGGTGTAAATCAGATAATCTATCAGAGTTCTTGCAGTACAAAAAAGCTACAGAAGGGGGGCAGAAGAACCATTTATGGAGATTACTGGTGTAAAAATCTGCCCCTATATCCTTCATATCTACTTCTATATTGCCTATAGCATGAGCCCCATCCACAAGAATCATGTCTACGCCTTCGTCTCTACACATCTGAACCAATTGTTTAACAGGGATAACTACACTAGGCATTGAAGTAATATGATCAATCACAGCTAATCTGATTTTGCCGCCATTCATTTTCCCCTTTTCTAGGGATTCACTGAACAGGGAAATAATTTCATCGTTTGATTTCACAGGGAAGGGTAAGGGGACCTCGATTACCTTCCCTCCGGCGCGGGCGACGTAGGCCTCGACGGACTTCTTGACGGCGCCGTAGGCGTAGTGGAGAATGACGGCGGCGTCTCCGCGGCTGAAGTGGGAGGAGAAGAAGGACCAAGTCACGTGCTGGAGGACTATGGCCACAGCGGTGGTGGCATTGTCGACGATGGAGATCTCGGCGACGTCGTCGGCGTTGACTAGGGATTTGATCAGGGAACGGGACTCCAAAATGGAGGGTTTGAGGACGTTGAGGCAGAAATTATCGGGTTGCTCAAGGAAGCGGAGGCGCCAGCGTTCCTGGTCGGCGAGAATGGATGCCGGGCAGGAGCCGAAGCTGCCGTTATTGATGCGGGCGACGGCGGGGTCATGGTGGGAGAATTCGGAGCGGAGCTCCTCCTCGGAGATGAAGGTGGACTGTTTTTCCGGGCGGGGCTCCGGCAGGCCGTTGAGATGGTTGGATAGGGCAAACGAGAAGGTTGCCATTCTAGTAAAGTTAGTCAAAACAGTGAGGGAGGATTTAAGCAACTCATCATCTCATCGGGATAAATGTATTGATAATCCATGGAGGAAGCCGGCAAAAGGAATTAAAAACTATTATGATTATGATTGCCAGATGATTAGGATGCAACTCAGAAGAAAACTTGAATGACAGAACTAACCTCATCTGCCTCAGGTGATGTTATACCATGGACTAGGTAAGGTGGATCTGGTCCAAACGAGTAAAACATGATGTATTTTTAGCATTGAAATTGTAAATTTTTAGAATATAAATTGTGTTTCTAAGTCAAAATACATAATAATTGTAGAAGGGAATTTGTAAATACAATATAAAGATCATTAAATCTTAATCTGTCAATATTGTGTGATTATAATATTTGCAATAAACTTGTGAATACAAAACAAAGTAATTAATTACATATATGTTAATTATATATATGTTAATTCTCGTTCGCACACACTTAATCTAATCTAGATCATTAAAAAAATAGTAGATGGATACGCACGATTTGTTCTCACGTTCTCACCTAATCAAGTGTTCTCAGTATATATATATATATATATATATGTATATATATATATATATATATATATATATATATGTATATATATATATATATATATATATATATATATATATATGTATATATATATATATATATATACATATATATATATATATATATATATATATATATATATATATATATATATATATATATATATATATGCGAGTTCAGGTGCGGCGGTGCGGCATCACCAATAGTTCAACAAATATACACCATCAACGTTAGAAAAATACACCACAAAAAACAGAGACAAATTAGGTACGCATCACCAACAACACACCATTAGGTGTGAGTAAAAACACCATATAGTGTTCGGAAATACACCATTCGGGGTGGTGAGTTATATGGTGTATTTTTTTTGGGTCTGTTGTGTATTTTTTTGGGTCTGTTGTGTATTTTTTGATGTTTTATTGCATTTCATTATGGTGTGTTTTCCTTACACTGTTGGTGCATATTGTTAACACTGTTGGTGTATTCTGAAATTCCGCCGCAAAATTCCGCCACACGGAAGACTCCGCCGCATTTGAACTTTTTCCTCTCTCTCTCTCTCTCTCTATATATATATATATATATATATATATATATATATATATATATATATATATATATATATATATATATATATATATATATATATAGAAGGGTTCAGGTGCGGGGACGGGTTCTCGTGCGATTGTGCGAAAGACGCACCTTAAGCATTAAAATGACGCACTTTAAGTACACAAACCAGGCACCTTAAGCACACAAACAAAACACCTTAAGAATACAAATCACGCACCTTAAGCACACAACAAAGCACCTTAAGAATCCAAATCATACACCTTTTTTAAAATGGTTCACCTTAAGTTTCACACAATTGACGCATCTTAAGCATACAAATCACGCACCTTAAGAAGGAAAACAACGCACCTTAAGAAGAAAACTCACACACCTTAAGTTTCAACAACTACTCACATTAAGCACAAAACTCACGCACCTTAAGCACAAAACTCACACACCTTAAGAAGGAAAATCATGTACCTTAAATTTGACCTAGATGCAAAAATTACCAAATTACCACTGCATTTTTTATTTTATTTTAAATTTTGATAATCCTGGACGTTGATTTATGCAAGATCAATGGCACAGATTTTACCGCACAACCGCACCTAGGCGCCCCAACCGCATTTGAACCTAATTATATATGCATACACCATATAACTCACCACCCCTAATGGTGTATTTCAGAACACTGTATGGTGCTTTTACTCACATCTAATGGTGTGTTTTTTGTGATGCGTACCTAATTTGTGTGTGTTTTTGTGATACATTTCCTAACGTTGATGATGTATATTTGCTTAATTATTGGTGACGCCGCAGCGCCGCACGAGAAGGGTCCGCCGCACTTGAACCTAACTATATATATATATATATATATATATATATATATATATATATATATATATATATATATATATATATATATATATATATGTTTAAGTTTCAGTGCGGGTGAATGCTTCCTGTGCGGTTGTGAGGGTGATTAATGTGCGTGAGTTTTGTACTTCATGTGCGTGAGTCTTGTGCTTAAGGTGCGTGTGGTCTGTGCTTATGTGTTTGGTTCAGTTAACAAGGCATGAGTGAAGTTATTTTTAATTCAATTTTTCATAATATTATGTTTAGTATTAGTATACAAAATTTATATATTTAGAAACTGCACTAAAAGTACTATTAAACACATAAAAAATCAAATTTAAAACTAAGTAAAAGAAATACTAAAGAAAATAAACAATGAAGAAAGAGTTTGTTTGACCAATGAATAGTAGGTAAGACAAATAAAATGTGATAGAAGAGTAAAAACTAAATATATAAATATATTTGTTTTAATTATTATTATTATATAAGGATATAAAGATAAGTTAACAATAACAAATCTATACTATATATAAAAACAAAATCCTGAAATTTTAACTTCCCGCCCAATAATAATAATAATATCTAAAAGTAATTAAGTGTTAATAATAATAGTAAGAATATTAACGTAAGAGTTGTAACATAAAATAAATTGTAATAATTAATTAAACTATAGTCTAGGATTAAATTTGTAATTGTCAGGAAAGATAAACGACCTCTGGTGAAATTAACTCTTAAATAATTATATATCAATTTAAATATTCTTAATATATTACATAAATTCCATTTCGTGTATCGCACGGGTAAAAATACTAGTTTGGAATAATTTAAGATAATTTAAATTACCTAAGAAAATAAGAGTAATCACATTACCTTAAAACATTAGGGTCACGTAGTTTTGAGGTAATATAACCACGGGAGATTACCTGAACCAAACGCCTAGAGTGTTTGAACTCAAATTGAAATGAATATGGCGAGTGGAGGCAAATTCTCATTCAATGCGAGTGTTGGTGTATTAGTCATCACTTTAGTATATATGGTGTTTGTTTTCATCTACAATGCTTAATGTTTGTGGAGCAACAAACAAGGTCTCCTAATCATCTGGCAATAATAATAATAATAGTTTTTAATTCCTTTTGCCGGCTTCCTCCATGGATTATCCCGATGAGATGGTGAGTTGCTTTAATCTTCCCTCACCTCACTGTTTTGACTAACTTTACTAGAATGACAACCTTCTCGTTTGCCCTATCCAACCATCTCAACGGCCCGCCGGAGCCCCGCCCGGAAAAACAGTCCACCTTCATCTCCGAGGAGGAGCTCCGCTCCGAATTCTCCCACCATGACCCCGTCGTCTTCCGCATCAATAACGGCAGCTTCGGCTCCTGCCCGGCATCCATTCTCGCCGACCAGGAACGCTGGCGCCTCCGCTTCCTTGAACAGCCTGATAATTTCATCCTCAACGTCCTCAAACCCTCCATTTTGGAGTCCCGTTCCGTGATCAAATCCCTAGTCAACGCCGACGACGTCGCCGAGATCTCCATCGTCGACAATGCCACCACCGCCGTGGCCATAGTCCTCCAGCACGTGACTTGGTCCTTCTTCTCCTCCCACTTCAGCCGCGGAGACGCCGCCGTCATTCTCCACTATGCCTACGGCGCCGTCAAGAAGTCCGTCGAGGCCTACGTCGCCCGCGCCGGAGGGAAGGTAATCGAGGTCCCCTTACCCTTCCCTGTGAAATCAAACGATGAAATTATTTCCTTGTTCAGTGAATCCCTAGAAAAGGGGAAAATGAATGGCGGCAAAATCAGATTAGCCGTGATTGATCATATCACTTCAATGCCTAGTGTAGTTATCCCTGTTAAACAATTGGTTCAGATGTGTAGAGACGAAGGCGTAGACATGATTCTTGTGGATGGGGCTCATGCCATAGGCAATATAGAAGTAGATATGAAGGATATAGGGGCAGATTTTTACACCAGTAATCTGCATAAATGGTTCTTCTGCCCCCCTTCTGTAGCTTTTTTGTACTGCAAGAACTCTGATAGATTATCCGATTTACACCATCCCGTGGTTTCCCACGAGTATGGAAACGGTTTGCCTATCGAGAGTACTTGGATAGGGACTAGGGATTACAGCGCCCAATTGGTGGTTCCTGAGGTAATGGCATTTCTAAGTAAGTTCGAGGGTGGGATAGAAGGGATTAGGAGGAGAAATCACGAGAAGGTTGTTGAGATGGCGGAGATGTTGGCCAAGGCGTGGGGAACGAATTTGGGTGCACCCCCTGAGATGTGCTCTAGTATGGCCATGGTGGGAATGCCGGCTTGCTTGGGGATTTCCAGTGATTCAGATGCCTTGAGGTTAAGAAAGCACTTGAGAGATTGTTTTTTTGTTGAGGTGCCTATATATTATAGGCCACCATTGGAAGGTGATGGGGTTGTTAATCCAATAACAGGGTATGCCAGGATCTCTCACCAAGTGTATAATAAAGTTGAAGACTACTATCGCTTCAGAGATGCTGTTAACAAGCTCGTAAATGATGGTTTCTCCTGCTCCCTTCTCCCCAACTAACATGTACGTTCTCCCTAGCTTTAATTTGCCATAGAATAAACAGATTTTACTTCTTTCAGTTGATTGTCAACGTTGCTAGGATAGTTGTTCCTTCTGTCCAAAATGTTGCTATCTGTGTTGTGAAGCCTAGTAATTTACTTGTCAATTATGGATTATGGAGTCATCAGATTGTCATTGTTTCCATAATTGTTCCTTCTGTCCAATAATTCCACTCTCCTCTCCTTTTTTCTCATATAGAACCATCAGAAATACTCATTCTCTCTTATTGTTAAGAGCTACTGTTGGGCGGAGGTTGGTAAAAGGTCAAGTCCATCAATTGGTAGCTAGAGAATTGTTGCGGAGGTTGGTGAAGGGCCAAGACCAGCACCGTGGTCTATAAGGAAATAAAGTTGTGCCTTCACTACTAGCTATAGTTTTTGGCTGACAACTAGACTTTTTTTTACTGTAAAAGCCCCATTAGAGATTTACTGGTACATTTCTTTGGTAATTCTAGGCATGTTGTTTCCCAATAATGAGATTAGAAATGTCCATTAGATTTAACTTGTGAAACAATAATAAGTTTCATGCATTAAACTCTATCACCCCAGCAAGGATTGGAATTCTCTTGTATTTTGTTTGTAAAGCTCTTGTTAATTGTAAGCCCAAACATATAAAGTCTGCAACATATGCACTGAGAGTTGCAATAAGTTTTTTCTGGCATTTCGAGAATTTACTTGCTGAAAAGGTGTGATTTTGGGAAGTGTTTGTGAAGGGAAAGTTTGCAATTTGGAGAGTGCTGTTTGTACTATTTTTGTTGGTTGGTGGGATGAGAAAAATCTTTTTGCTATATGTTGAAATTTGTGGCAGTAAAAGGGGATGAGAAATTGGTTGATGTAGCAATTTGACCTCTTTCATTGAGGTTTTAGTAATTACCATCATAAAATATTTTAAAGTTGTAAATTTTTATTTGTTTTAAATTGGAAAAATTACTCCTACTAGTTAGTAGTTACAATCCTATCATATCCTATCCTATCCTATATCCTATATATAATAAAGCTATATGGTCTTGTGAAAATTGAATGTTGCATTTAATTTTCACAAGACCATATAGCTTTAAGATGTGAAAGTCTTGTGAAAATTAAATGGGCTTTAAGATGTGAAAATTACTTTAAGCTGTGAAAATTAAATGTTGCATTTAATTTTCACAAGAACATATGACTTTAAGATGTGAAAATTAAATGTTGCATTTAATTTTCACAAGACCATATGGCTTTAAGATGTGAAATTAAATGTTGCATTTAATTTTCACAAGACCATATGACTTTAAGAAGCATGCATGCAACCCCAAAGTCCATAAGTTTGAAATTAATATATAGCATAGCTATGTGGCTTAATACTTAAGATTGTTGATGTGCATATTGAGGATTACGGAGACAAAGATGCGTTATTCTTGGATTCATCGGATACTATCCAACAACACTCTCCAACTTAATTGACGTGAAATATGCTTAGTAACATTAAGATTATATTCTCGAATTATTAATTCTCATCTTTTATTGATTACACACTTAATTTGATAGTATTTGGAAGAAAAAAATCAATGTTCTAACTAAGATTGTGATTTTGGTCTTTAAAGGTCAATTGTATGTTGCTACATCTAGAGTTAGAAATCTCAAATGTCTAAAAATTTTGATCCGTGGTGACTCTAAAATTGTAATTCAATTACTATTGTAGTTTACTAAGTTCTTAAAAATTTATAATATTAAATACTATGCACTAAATTTGTAATATAGTTTAAGATTTGTAGTAATCACCCACCTTAAATATTATTTTAATTGTAAATATATTTATGTTCATAATTTTATCATAGGAATTCACACATAATAATTATTATTAAATAACAAAAATTTTATATATGAATAAACTTCATATAGTGTATATTTTTATAACATATTTTCCGTGCATGGCACGGGACAAATACTAGTTTGTAAACTATTATTATTAATGTCATTTCATTATTGATTTCTTATTTTTTGTAATAATTTTTAAGTTAAATAGTTGAAAATAGATATGTAAACTTGTAAATGTAATTTAGAAAGAAAACATAATTTAAATGAGTCAGATATATAATCTTAAATATATATATATATATATATATATATATATATATATATATATATTTATTTATTTATTTTTAGGGATATAAACCTTATTGGTTTTTTTTTTTTTAAATAAAAAATAAAAAATCGAATCCAGTTAGATGGTTAACAGGCTAATGGCAGGCAGGCAGGACCGGACAGGTCCATGCCCACTCATTTGACACCTCTAATTAGATGGTTACACTTTTTTTTGAGTGATTTTAAAATTTTTGAACTCAATATTTATTTTGAATATCTCAAATTCTAATAAGTGTTATCAATATAAACTATAGACTTTTACATATTGGTACAATTATGAGAGAGTAAAAGACATTTTATAAAAACATAAAGGCAAATTTGATGCCTAGTTCTTACGTAGTATTCCACCGTAACTTTCATCGTTAGAGACTTGGGGTGTGTTTGATTCGCATATAAAAATCGAAATTGAAATGGGAATAAGTATTTTGCATGTTTGGCAGTAATGTGGAATTAGAATGATTATTAATATTGATGTTTGGTTATGTATGACATATAATGGGAATACAACTTTTAAAAATAAAAAATAAAAAAAAATCAAGGCAATTGACCATAACATAATAACATCCAAAGTATCAACAAAAATTTAAAAGTACTAATCCAAACATAAAACTCAAATTACCAATATAAGATGGAATGATATATTCATTTTTAATTATGAGAATGAGGTTCTTAATTAAATGGGTAATCAAATTCCATAATTGTATTTTAAAAAAGTTGTCAACCAAACAATAATTATGATTTTGATTCTCATTCCTAAAGTGTGAGAATTATAAATTATTAAAACTTGTAAACCAAGCATTTAAACTCACAAATATACATAAAAAAAAACATTTAAAATGGACCCATGAGCTTATGCAAACGTGTGAGGATTATATGCAAGACTCACATGAATCCACTAGCTAGCCACCAGCAGTTTTTGTTTTTTTTTTGGAACAAAAACAAAACACCAACGTTTTAAGAGTACAAGATGGTAAAACTTGCAATCAAGAAAAAATATTTTTCTTATAATGATCTAATCTTGTCACAACTACGTGAATTGAGAATGAAGGCTCCACCTTGATCGCACTACCACAATTCCCCTTGTGTGGATAGTTACTAGCACCCAAGGATGTAGAAAGCATTTTTGGCTTCACAAGTCATCATTGTTTAATGTATTGTATTAGAAAAACTTGTGAATGATAATTTTGGTAGTATAGTAATGATTAAAGCTCGACATCAAACTTCTATAATCTGTTTCTCCTATTTTTAGATTCTCTATTTTTATAAAAACACGCGATGAGGTGGCATGATGATGCGGTAAATTATATGATAGAGCATCTAATGAAAAGTTTAATTTTTTTCCAAGTGAAATTTACATTCTCAAACAAAAAGCAAAAGAAAAAAAAAAATTCAAAACTTAAGGGGTTGCTAGTTAACGATCATCCCAACACATCTAACGAGCAGTTGGCAAATGGCAAGACATATCCATTTTTTTCCTTTTCTTTTAAAAAACTAATCAAAAATCGAGAGCTAGCATATGGACTAAGATTTTCTTTCTCTTTTCTCCCATCTCTTCCACATTAGCATTTTTTGCATGAAAATTTGAGAAAAACCACTAGGCCACAACGGAGATACTCTAATATAGTTAGGAGTTCTACTACATGTACTTCCAAATTTTACTATCTCACTTTTACTACATGACATGACAAACAAAGATTTGCTATTTTCATTATGAGACACTACAAGAATAAAGACATTTTAGTGACGAATCAGTTGTGACAATTCGTAATTTAGTCACAAATAATACCCATTTTGTGACCAAAAAAATAATTCGACACTATTATGTAGTGTAATTGTGATAACTTTTTTTGTTGTCACAGATAATATGGTAATTGTGACGAGTAAGTATTTGTTACGAATAAGTTGTCACTATTACTAGAATAATAGTGTCGTAACATGTGTTGTCACTAAAGGTATGTATATTTTGGCGGCGTTATAATTATGGCGGGAACGAATGTAATTGTGACGAAATATAATGTTGACACAAATTTTTGTACTTTTTGTGACAAATAGTTGTTGGTCACTCTTTTTTATAATATTTGTGACAACCTTTTTTGTCAATAAAAATACAATTAGTCATTACCATTAGAAATGAGATACGATTGGGACAAAAAATATTATTGTCACTCATATTGTCATTTTTGTGATGAAATTGTTATAAATATTTGTGGCGCTCTATAATTGAGTAACATATAGTACCAAATTGTAACAATAATTGTGTTGATATCATGTTTTGTCACTAATGCTATGATAATTGTGACGAGTAATTATTTGTTGTAATGAATTCAAGTTTTGTCTATTATTTGTTACCATATAACATGCATGCACAATATCTTTTATTATATTTTTTTAATGGTAATAATGTATGTAGAGATTGTATATTGAATTAATATATGAAATAAGTTTTTTATTGAAGATTCCATAATTAAATTTAGTAATTTATTATATTAAAATTCCGACTTTAATAATATTAATCATACCATAATTATTAATTACTCAAATTATCAACTATACTTTTAATATAATATAAATTCTACAACTATGAATTAACAAAAAATCATATACTATGATTTAAAAAATACTTTAATATAGTTAAGATTTTAACAGGAGCATTAATATTTGACATATATTTTTTCACATAGCGTATATAAAATACTAGTATGTTTTTATAAGAATCTTGATGAATTAATTTAATATTAAACCTGATTAAATTTATTTTGTGATACAATAGGGGAATAAAAAGAATTAAAGAAGAAATAAATCAAGAAAAACGTAAAAAAAAAAAAAAATTAAAGAAATAAAAAGATAAGTAAAGAAAAGGGTAATAAGAATTAATAATAATGAAATAAAAGAAAACGTGTGGTAGGAGGATAAGGAAAGAAAGGGAATAGCGCTAGCAGAAAGATTAAAAGAGGTAAAATATAAAGGCTGAGGGGATACGGCAGAAAAAATAATTAAGGGAAGCATATCAGCGGCAGAGATGAAGAAAAGAAGGGTGGCGGCAGCGGAAGAATGATAGGAGCGGACGACACAACGGTTGAAATCTCTGGTATTGATCGGTTCTTTTAATTTCTATTCAATTTCTGTAATCCTCATTTATTTTGCTGTCAATTTTCAAATTATAAGTAGCTAGGGTTTTAGATTTTCAACTCGAAATTCAAACTCTATGATTTAATTTATGAGATTTTGGATTTAGATTTCCAACCCCAAGTTAGAATTCTATATTTAATTATTTATGTTGTTCACTCTTATGTGGTTTTGTATGTTAATATTCTTTTGGAAAATGTTATATGATAATTCTTTATTTATGTATGAATCTGAAATCATCTTTGGTGAAAGTCAATTTGATACATCTTGTTATCCCAATTTGTGGTCTTTTCATGTCCCTGATTCTCTTATAGTTTATTTCTTATTAATAATATAATTTTTTTTTAATTTATATGCAGGACCAAAGCGAAAGAAATAAAAATAATAGAGGAAATCAATAGATCAAATCAAATAGTGGCACAATGTCTTTTGTACAAATTGCATATGAGATGGTAAAGTAAAATTTTCTTTACTAAAAATTAAATTCA